CACTAATATATATATATATATATATATATATATATATATACTGTATATTCATATTTATATATAATTTTTTATTATACTTCAATATAAATATTAAATCGATTTGACGGCACTAATATATATATATATATAATTATAGACACACACTACTACTCAAAAGATTTTTACTGTTTTTAAAATAAGTCTCTTCTGAAATATATATGTTTTTCAATTTAAAATAACTCTTTGAATATAGTTGTATATATGTTTCTGTTTGAATATATTTTAAAATCGGAATTTATTTCTGTGATACAAAGCTGAATTTTCAGCATCATTACTCCAGTCTTCAGTGTCACATCATCCTTCAGAAATCATTCTAATTTTGATTTACTGCTCAAGAAGCATTGTCAATGTTGGAAAGTTGTGTAAAAACATTTTTTCAGTATTTTTGATAAATACAAAATTCAAAAGAACAGCATTTAGCAGAAATAGAAAGCTTTTGTAACATTATACATATCTTTACCATCACTTTGGAATAATGTAATGCATCCTTGTTGAATAAAAGTATTCATTTCTTTAATTTCTTTCCAAAAAAAAGAAAAACTCCTTCCTGACCCTGAACTTTTGAACGATGATGTATAATGTTACATAAGCTTTCCATTTCAGATAAATAATACAGTGTTAAAATATTGTGTGCGTATAACTTTAATGTTTGATTTAGAATTTGGTGAATAAACTGTGTCCAATTTGTGAGCAAATCATTCTGTTGATTTGGGTCAGGTCTATTTGATTCATTGAAGAATCAAAATGACTTTTAAAAACACCTTGTCTAATTATCACAAATTATTGAAAAGATCATTGAAATTCATTGGTCAAAAGTGTCTACCTCTTTCCCCTCTCAATCTATAGGGTCTGAAACGGAGTGAGCAGGGCACCATGCTGGAACTGTTCAGACAGAGGTTACCTAATCCGCCATCAGGGCCAGACAGTGGCCCATCATTGTCCTTCAGTGCCCCCACCCCTGAACAAGAATCTTCCCGTATCCGCAAACTGGAAAAGCTCATCAAAAAGAGGATTCAGTAAATCAGAAGGAACTTTATTCCCATCAATATACTAATGTGAGCGCTCTGTCTGGATATTCAGTACGGCCTGACAACGTGTCTCCACTCCAGTTTTAACATGCTGAAAACGGTGTGTAAATAGTACTGCTATGTCTTCTGTATGTATTTATGTTCTCTGACAGATCGTGGTTTAACTTTGTGGCTTTTGTGACTCGCATTACTATGAGCCTTATAATTCAAGTCCTTTCCTGAACCTCAACACATTACTGGCATGTATGAGTCATTTTGCCACCCCCCCCCC